GGACCTGGTCCAGAGACATGGAACCAAAAGACTGTGAGACTGGACCAGGTCTCTCTTCTTCCATGGCATGCTAACTGCCATGCGGGTGCGCTGTGCCCGTTCGCCGCCAGTGCCTTCTTCTTCTTCATGTGAACCACCATAGCCTGCCGTGCTTTCTTTGGTACTGCTGAGGAGGAGAGAGCTCGGTTGATCATATATACATATTACATTGTCTTCGTCGTCAGGGCCACCATAGCCACAGGTCCTTAGACCACGCCGTCTGCGCTTGTCTTCTTCAGGGCAAGCCATAGCCACATCTCTCTCCGGAGGGGTCGGTTGCATATGCCCTGCGTGTCAGGTGGACAATCTGGGCCCCACTTGGACAAACTGGGCTAAGGGGGGGGGTGGGGGGTGGGGGGGTGAAGGGGGTGTAGAATCTGAGGATAGAGCTGGGGGGTGGCACACTAGGTAAGACAGCCCACTTACGTAAATGTAGGATAATGAGATTGAGCTTGTTAGGGAACCAAATAGGAACAACAGTGCTTGCTGCTGTATTACATGACTGTCATTGACTGATGATGGTGACTGCTGATGGCTCTGAAATATCTCCTCCCTCTTCGTCCTCTTCAGAATGTTCAATCCATTTCATAATATTCGTATGCTCAGCATCTTTGCTTTGCTTTGAATGCAGGTGCGCATCTTTGGACAGAATGCGCCCAGGAGCCGGGAGATTTATCATACAAAGCGCATGCAGAGGTAAATGCTTATCATGGTTACGATCCGGACGTCCGCTGCAGACGGTCTGGGTATGGATTTTCGGGTCTGGTGTCCGGTCCAGAGTCTCCTTATCGATCACCCCCACCCCCACCCCCAGCCCCGAAAAAAATCCGACTTTAAAAAAAAAGAAATCAACAAAATGTTTAAAAAATAAAAAATCTGAAAAAAAGATATGTTGTGCAGCATTGCAATACAAAACTATTTTCGCTGATTGACCATCTCGAAATTCGTATCCAAAACCAAGGAGAAAATAAAATAAAAACGTTTTCTTTAAATAAAAAAGAGGCTCTAAAATTCTTATTCACAAGCAAGAAGTAATCTTTTTGTTCTTTTTCTTTTCTTTTTCTTTCTTTCTTTGTTTCTTTTTTGTCCCCCTTTTGTATATGAAAAAACTATGCTATATTCTTCTCTCATTCTATCTCCCAATACCTGTACCTATCTACCTACCTCTAGTCCAGTTTTTGCTTTTTTTTTTTTTTAACCCTAATCTGGCCCTGTCCCCTATTTTGGGGTTGATCCTCAACTCTGCTGTGTGCGGAGAGCAGTACCCCGGCTCCTGACCCCTGGCTGGTGAGCCCGAAGTGTGTCGCAGGCGGCTGCGAGGAGTCCAATGGATGCCGTGGGGAATCGATCCCACGACCTCCTGAATGCCGCTTACGTGCCCTACCAACTGAGCGAGGCAGTAACCTTAACTTCGAAGGCTATTATCAGGTTATTAAACCACCAGTACTTGGCCCAGCTATCGGCCACGGAAAAAAATCGAGCAGAAACGTTTCTAGTTGGATGAATTTGGGCGCTCCTGTAGTGGCCCGTACATTTCCTAGAATCGCGTAGCGTTAACGGGCACGACTTTAGGAAGTAATGGTGGTTTAACAGATTTTGGGTGAGTATTTCACACACTGACCTCTCTCTCGGACTTTGGCAGGAGTTTGAGGAGGTTAACCAAGGGCAAGTTTGAAATTGGTTCGTCGTTTCTGATGTGGCTGACAATTTGTCCATACTGCTCTTCTTCTCGATTCTTTTTCTGTCGTGTGCACAGAGTATTCTGTGTTAAGTACAGTGGTGATGCAGCCTACGTGATGTCAGGAAGCGACGACTTCAATGTTCGCATCTGGAAGGCCAAGGCTTCGGAGAAGATGGGAGTGGTAATCTTTCTTTCTGTCTTGTCCCCTCCTTCCCCTCCCCCCCCCCTTTTTTTTTTTTTTTCGTCCAGGCCACGGCATTTTGGTTCTCGTTTCGTTCACTTTCAACTAAGAAAATCAACGGTGTGTGCTGATTTTCATTCGGTCGCTGTGATCGACAGCAGCATGCGTCGTTTCTCTGCAGGGGCGGCGGCGTATGGACAGTCCGTCCTGGCTGGATGAGGCAGAAGCAAAATTTTGTATCGGTCCGGTGGGCAGGAAAACGTTTTGCTTGTCCTTGCACCCACACTCGCCCGCCCGCCCGCCCGAACTTAACGTCGTGGTGGCTAGCAAATTGGATTTCGCAATTTTCACCGCTTGCTTTTTTGTGACCGCAGCGGGAGCAGTCCCCGGGCCGTCGCGCATGCAACTCTTTAGTAGAAAAGGGGGGAGCTGGAATCTTCCTGGACTCAGAGGAGAGATATATGTTGTAGCAACGCGCGTGTCGTCTCTTACTCGCTGCTTCTGTGACCTACCTATCTTCATAACACGTCGAAAACTCCATATCAGTCATGATAACACAGGAGTTGCGATGGCGAACACGCATGCATTCGACGTTCTTCGTGGTGAACGTCGAGGATTCATGCGGGCCCTGTCTTGTGTTTTCACTACTTTGGGTGCCCTTGGACAGTTTTGGGCGCCCGGCGGAAGGTCGGATGAAAAAGTCGAAACTCTTGAGAGAAAAGTTAAGTGTAGTTTTTGACTGATCTGAGAGCAATGCTGCCAAGGATTGCCTGCACGGTAGTGAACAAAGGAAAAATTTTAAAATTCATCACTCGGTTTGGGGGTAGCAAAACATCGCTTGTCAGCTCGTCGCGAGTATAGAATTATTATGTCCTGATATGCTGAGAGTCGTAGACATCCAATTTCAAACGTGAAGGTGTTGCTTTGAGAGCGTACTTGATTACCTGTTTGTGAGTCTTTGTGGGGTCTTGATGTGATTACTTGTGTTGATTGCAGCTTCTTCCAAGGGAAAGGTTCCGCCAGAACTACTTGGAGAAGGTGAAGGATCGGTACAAGCATCTGGACGAAATCAAGAGAATTGACAGGTTTGCCAACCATCTTCACAACTCTCTCTCTCTCTCTCTCTCTCTCTCTCTCTCTCTCTCTCTCTCTCTCTCTCTCTCTCTCTCTCTCTCTCTCTCTCACACACACACACAC